CCCCAAAACCCCAAAACCCCAAAACCCCGGGAGAGTCCAATCTTTAGTATTATATAATAACTAAAGCATTTTCATGATGTAAGTCTAATGGTGTAATATAATCCTAGAAAGCAGTATTCAAAAATGTTACAGAATCTTATAAAAATTGGTTTTCCAATATCTAATCTTATTTTGATAAGTGGCTCCAGACAGACTTGGAATTTACAAGGTTAGGATCCCAAATTCCTCAAAGTAAGGAACCTCTGATATTATAATAGACTAAATGCAGCAGCTTAATGATACCACCATAAGGCTTATCAAGCAGGTAAGCAGACATGTAGAGGCTATCTTTAGTAGTATTTTAAATGATACCAATTTAGGTTGGCTTTGTAGTAATTCTTTGATTAATGCATTTCTATTTACCCTTTCTTTCGTCCATTATCATTATACTCATCGATAGTCTAATAATCTAGATTTTCCAAGTAAGCCCAGGCTTAACAGTCTTAGGCTTTTGATGAGAACAAGCATGCAAAAGAATGGGAGATGATGGTTGGAGACCTGATATTTGCAGTATACTTGATCTTTACATATCTGCTGGCATCTTACTATCCTTCTTACATCAAATTCTGCATGTATTTGAGCTGCTCTGTAGGTTTACTTATGATAAACTCACTGTTCATCACCAAGCATGAAAGTTATTTTAATTGATATGTATCCTAGCTTAGTGTTATTGCTTCTTTGCACCAATATTAGCCCCTTCTAAAAGACTACTGAGCATTCTAGTATTCTTTCTCAATGTAGAATGCACTCCTACAGATCTTACTGTCAACTTGGAAAAATAAAGAAGGCTTTAATAATTGATGCACACAAAATATGCGAGAATGCTCGGATGGAAAAGATAGTTTCATCAGTTGGGTCAGCTTGCTATTTCTACTGTGGACTTAGCATAATTCACTAAAAACTCAAAAATATATATGAGATTATCCTGGAGAATGGTAAACTTGTCAAGGACAAGGAAAAGACGGTAATGGAGTTCCCTCACCCTGTCTTGATTCTCCCTGAGAAGACTTCATCATCCTTCCAATTTTACTCAAATTCTGAGTTTGAATCTAAAATGTACTCTCTTCAGCAACAAATAGAGAACTTGGAGAAAGTTGATGGATTGACTAAAGTAAAGAGGAAAGATTTGAAATCCAATGAGAATAAGCTTAATCTTCTCAGATACCTATCTCAGCAACAAGAGGATTCAAAATGAGCAATGGGAATGCTAGCTCCCTTCAGGATTTCAACACAACATTTGATAGTAATATTGTTTTATTTTCATATTTTGGTTTATTTCTACAATTTATCCCTTATTTTATAACTTTTGTTCACCAGAAATTTGACAGATGAATGAATCATCCTAACTGATGGAGATAAGAACAAAGAATACTCTAACAGGAATTTTAATCTATGATGACTCAAGATCGATTGGAAAGGCCATCCTTCCTTCATGCATGTCTTCATTGGCCACACTGATATTATAAAACTAGAGTAAGCGAAGAATCGGATTAAGATGCAAGGAATTATGTTTGCAAATTGCTTTATAAATTCAGGACTCCGCTGAATGAAATGATCAATTCTAATGAATTAATCAGTGATAGCTTAAATACTATAATTAATGTCTTAGAACCAAAATTAGCGAAGAAAGAACTTGAATCTGAAGAGAAGTAGCAGCATACTGGTATTTTCCATCAGTTCTTGAGGAGTGGAAAGACTTCATCCATCTTGCTTCTATCTCTAATTGAGGAATTTTGAACCTTTCCAAGATAGATAATGGGACGTTCACTACCACTTTTGATTACTTTAACATTCAAGAATTATTAGATGAGATTTACTTGCAGAGACCCAACTAGATGCAAATATTAATTGTGGAAACCAGTAAGAGGAAGTTATTTTTCTGAATAAAATTAAGAGGAAATGTAACTGAGGGTTTGCAAATGTAATTAGCCTGTTTCTGATCCAATTTAAATTTAACTACACTTCTTGTTCATTGTACAGTGTAAAAGCAAAATGTCGAGTTGGAGCTGTGATGAGAAGAGAACCTCAAACAATATGAAATCAAGACTGATCGGAACAGAGTCAGACAGATATTGCTGAACCTAATGTCTAACTTCCTCAAATTCACATTTGAGGGAGCAAATTCAGTAAAAGCTGTCTTGAGTAAGACCTATACTGGTGAAACCTATATCGAGTTCAGAGTTTTAGACACTGAAGTAGGGATTAAAAATACCAAAGCTGCCTATTCTAGCTCTTTGGAGTTATTGAAAGCAGGAAAACTTCTAACCCAAACGGAATTGGCCTTGGGCTGACTATCAATAGGAAATACTTTGAAGTTTTAGGAGGAAAAATAAGTTTAGAGTCTGTGTATGGGCAGAAAACAAAAATTGCCTTCACAATATTGCCCAGAGGCATTAAACACCTAGGAAAAGCATACAGAAGAGAAGCATCCCACCTACATCATCTTTAGAAGAATCTATCTGAAATATATTCGACCAAACTTTCTGAAATACCGAAGAGTACTTGAAGAATTAGCCCCAAAATGTGAGATGAAAGGTAGAACCTATCATAACTCCAAGTTTTAATAATAAAAGCTGAGTTGTGAATTGCATATCTTTTGAGGGTTCTGATGGCCAGATTATATCATTTAGATGGAGTCTGCAAAACCTCACCCAGTCTGTTATATCTGTCTTGTCTAGTACTTCAAGAGGTTGCAAAGAGTTATCAAATCAGACAATTTTTTTTAATTATGTGAGCTAGAATAGGGGAGAGGACATAGACATTCTCTTTATGAGCAAAGTTAAGGCTGTCTTACTTGCACTATCTTTTCAAAATTTATTTAGATTGAGAAAAATTATATGGAAATATCATAATTAGTATTTTGACTCTGAGTTATTTTAGATGAAATAAACTATTCGAAAGGAAAATTGTTGCTTTCAAGTACGACTTTTTAAATACTAATAGTCAAAGTTCAAGTTCAAGTGTATTACCTGAATAGTAGGGCTCAAATAGATGAGATTTTGAACAAACTACACCCAAGGAAGATACCAGTTGTATCTTAAAAAGCCTTACGATAGAAACAATAAAATATTATCAATATGATTGCCATTTAGAGGGGTTTTGGGGTTTTGGGGTTTTGGGGTTTTGGGG